ACGCCGATTTCGGTGATAAGAATAATTTGTTAACCGCCAAGGCAAACAACGCGAAAGTGTCGAAAACGTCACAGTTAGCGACAAAACGGCGCAGAAGAAAAAGTCACAGACAATAACCGTTACTCTGTGCTCCTTACATTTTACAGCGACGAAATGGCAGCGTCCAGTCATGATTGTAACAAATATTATCACTTATGTCCCCGTTTCTATCAATATAGAAGACTTTAATTTCAATTCAACTTAATCTTCATCTTTTTCTAGCTCTTATAATTAGAGAAGAAAAAAAAGTTAATTGAACAGAAATTAAAATTAAACATTAGTATTATAAAAACGAGCATGAATGATATACTTCGCGAACATCCACAATTTTATCGATATCTCCTACTGCTTCCCTCCATCCCCCCCGCTTTCTTTTTTGTTTATAATTCAGCTTAATTACAATACTTTTCACAGATAGGTGTTTTAGATAGGTGTTTACTTGCTGGTTCTTATTTCTCCGCAAGCGCATTTTTCGTGCGATTTTCGTCGGCACGAAATTTTTTTTTTTTTTCCTTTCCTTTTGTAAACTTAACAAAAGACGCAATGTAGATAGGTAAAAGAAATCCCACTTCCTTTCGTAAACACTCGCAAGCACTCTGGAAACTTTCCGCGTTAGGCAATCTCCCCCGTTTACCGTCGTAGGAACGCGCCGTGGAAAACGGTGTGCAAAGACGGCAATTGCAACAGACGCTGTTTCGAGATTCGCTTAATCGTTGGGCCTTGAGGGCCTAGACCCAGTTACTCGGATTGCATTAAATGCTGCGACCAAACTCTGCTTCACGGCATTTCTGTCTTGTCTCAATTCCATGTCTTGACGAATGCGACGCAATCGCGAGCGGCAGAAAGCGCCGAAATTGGAGCATCGATCGGACTAGCCTGTTTATAACTCGATTCAATTTAATTTCATTACACGTATTGCGCGCATCGTATGCGTGTGTGCGTGTGTGTATAACGGATGTATAACAGATTCCATATTAATAAATTAATCTTGAATTAAGATATAATTAGAAACGAAGAAATTACCAAGTAATTTTCGCGTCAGATGTTACGATAAATTTAGTAACGAAGGGAAAAGTCTCAATAAAAATATTCTATTTCTTTTCGTGGAACAAATTATTACGGCATAATTTATTTATGTGCACTGAAGAAAAATTTACTAAATTTTAATACACATTTTGTTTGATGAAATAAATTACGTATATAAATTTTTATATACTTTCATTATTCTAACTATAATATTATAATTTTTTTAATGATCTTTCTTCTACTTTTTCTCATTATATTTTATTTTCTATATAATTTCATTAATGCACTTTTTCTCATTTTTCACTTTTTATTCTAAATTAACTATATAAATAAATGAAATAATATTAATAATTTATTTTCCCGCCCATTAATTTCTTCTTTAACTACCCCTACCTCTAATATCTAATAGAAAACTATTTCTAAAAATTTCAAAAATGTTCATGCTTCTCTTTTTACATTAAAATATATTTTTTAATCCCATTTTATCTTTAAGATAAAAAATTTTTTATTTTATAAAAATTTGTATATGTACTCAGTAAATATAAAACTTACAGTAAATAAATATTTATTTTAAAAAATGATAGTTAAATCAAATTAATAGTTTCTATATCAAATAAATAGAATCTGATCGAAATTTCGGTTTCGGGCAAAAATCAGGGTTTGATTTCGGTTTTGACTGAAATTAAGAGAAAATTTCAGTAAGTAAACCGAAACTGTACAAATTGCAATGCGTCGATAAGCTTTTAAAAAAACAACCGTTTGATTTTCATTATTAACTCGTTGATTACGCTTCAGACAATTTGAGTACAAACTTTGATATGATCCTAATAATAACTGTGATTTGATTTCTTTAAAAGTTGAGGATGCAATATCATTATATTATTATATAGTTAAATATTTAATGAAATCTTGTTTTTTAAAGAGTACATGAACTTGTCATGATTTTTGAAAATCAATTCGTTCTCGGCCGGAGATCAAAATTGAATGACAACCGAATATTTGTTTTCGGTTTCGGCCGGAGATCAAAATGTGGTTTCGGACTCTACAAATAGATATACGTTTACATATTTAGTTGCTGTAAATATTTACTTGGAAGTAAATACGCTACTTATTAAAGTTTCGTATTTTTTTAATACAAGATACATATACGCTACCGTACTTCATAAAGTCTGCTAATTAGAAACAAATTGTAGACGCAAGAGGTTTTAACGGGGTCGAACGTAAGCACATAGATAATGGCGCGTAATTGTGTTACTAGTGCTGTGCTGTGACGTAATTTCGTTTGTCCAGCATGCAGTAACGACCGCTTCTCCGCTACAACTCGAATATCGCGAGGAAGAGGTGCGCGCGATCGATTTCGCGGCTATAAGCGGTACGATGGTACGATGCCATCGCTTGCCGTCAAGCGCGCATATCAAACGCGCATTCCCGAGCTTTAAAACGGCGAAAGGGAGCACGCGGTGAGACTCGAGTTAATCGCTTCCACGGTGTGTAATAAGGTTAAGTTCGTACGAGCGTGGTGCGAAAACACCCGAGCGTTACGCTGATGGGAACCGAGTCGACGACGACGACGACGACGACGACGATATCCGACACGCACGTAAACGACTTTTGACGTGCGGTTAGTGGCACGAGCGAACGCACGGAGATATTCGACAGAAGATAACATAAAACATGATAATAACGCCGATGACACCGAACCGTTATTGGCGGAAAAACATCGCTTTCGTCTGGTGAAAGTAAAACGAGAAATTATTAAAATGACATGACGCGCACGATACGACGCATTATGCGCGATTACGTACTCGCGGAATTAGATATGCATAGATTCTTTTTATAACAATGAAAAAAAATACGTTCGCGTGTCCCAATATAAAATTATTCGTATACAGAGAAATACAGGTGTGGATTTGATGCACGTGTAGAGATATACATACATAGATTTACATTTAACGTTTTTTTCTAGAATGAGACAGATTTTACAACAACTTTTAAGAGGTACGGTTCAATAATGTTTATCGAAGTGCATTTGGTTGCGCGTATTATTAGCTTGTTATCAGTTATATGTAAGGCACATTAATGTTACACTGTTATCAAATATCGCGATTCAGACGATAACCTTCATCATACAATTTATTGATTGGAATTAATTCTATCGTATATTTTTTTTAGATGTGAAGTATTCTTCAAATCTATTTCACTTTATAATAATTTTCGTTCGATGCATTAGTGCATACTAATCCTAGTTATACATACTTTTCTTTTATTCTTGATAGATGGTATATATACACACTCAGATATCTGGGATTCCTTCCACATTTGTTATCGTAACTTTAGTAAAAATGGACATATTTCAATTAATTTTTTTTTTCAATCGATGAAAAAAAAATTGATTAAGGAATAAGTCCATGATGTATAAAAATCGATAGACTTTTCTTAAAGAGCTTCGAGATATGTAGAAAGTTCAAAGAAAAAGAAAAGTTAAGAAACACCAAAAAATCTCGATTTAGCAAATTGCATTGAGGTTTCTGGGATCACAGTGTATATAGCTAGAGTTAAAACCGATGTGCACTGATTTAATCTAAATGTAAAAATAAAATGTAAATACTTTGAATTGTAAAATACATATTTTATGTAACAGTATAATAAAATATATTGAGAATTTCACGATTTAACCGATTTCTTTAGTTTTATATAAATACATATCTTTACATCAATTTGTGTTTTAATATTCATCAGTAAGCTAAGTGTATACAATCGAATTCAATTTAGGTTTTTCTAACTTTACGTATGCACATAAAACAATGTTTTTATTACAGACAATCATTGATAAAATCCTCTCACGAGATATTATCCATATAACGAGTTACGAATCTATATTCGTTTCTTGGGTGATTTAATGAATTGATGATTTAATTTTGAGAAACTTTTGTTTACACCTAAATATATGTTGGCATTATATCAATTCAATTTTGCTTTAATTAACTACCGTTCGCTATTTATTTACCTGATAAGAGACGAAGATTTATTTTTGCTTTATTCGTTTATTACGCGGTTTAATTTTATGTTGTATGTTTATTCATTTTCCTTTTTATTGATTTTATTTTTATTTTTGATTTCATACGCGATGATATAATCCTTCCGCTTTTGACTGATTAAGACTCAATATAGTAGAAACCTATGTTATTATTCTCTTTCAAGAATAAATTCATTATGTTGATGCATCTTTAAATGCTCGTTATTTGGCCCGAATATTTCCTTTTACTGCTTTCCAAGAATCGAGTTTATTGATTAGATACGTAAATACTTTGGTAAATCTATTTTGTTCAACATCTTTTTCTATTAAAAACACCAAAAGAATTCGCAACTTGAAAAAAAAATTGTCTTCGCTTCCTTTTGTGCTTTCTAGGAGATCGCTTTTCAATGACATCACAATATAGAATTATCGCAGACGTTTCTCAAATTATGTATTATGAATGGCATCGAATAACGTTTACTATTACATAAACAACATAAAACGCTAAAAATGCATAGATATTCTTCGCGTATCCGCTTGATGAAAGTATTTATACAAATGATTTTTATTCAACTGCTTCTAGTTCGATCACTGTTGTTTCTTTCTCTCTGTCATAATCTCATTATAATATAACTGTCACATATTTGTAATATGGAAATTTCTTTTAATTTATTGAAAATGATCTCTTTATCAGTTCACATTTCCATACTCGAAAATAAATATACGTCAACCAAAGGAACAAACAGCGAATGAAAACAAAATATTTGTTGACAACATTCTGTTCTCTCACAGGCAGTGACAGAAAGAACGTCAGGGGAAGTTTTTAAACGAAATTACCTTCGAATTGTTTCGTTACTCGACCGTTCACTACTTAGGTAATAATCGATAATAACCATTCGATAAGTAGAAAAGGACTCACCTTCGAGCTTCATGCCGACCTCGAGGCACTTCTGAAAGCGGCAGTAGGGACACCGTTTCCGCTGCGTCTTGTCGATATGACAGGACCTCTCAGCGACGCACGTGTAGACCTTCTTATTCTGGACGGTGCGCTTGAAGAATCCTTTACAGGACTCACAGGTGAGTAAACCGTAATGATAACCGGACACCTTATCGCCGCACACAGGGCACAGCTCCTCGATGATGATATCCTTAGTATCCGGGAAATCGGACGGGCAGGGTATCGAGCCGGTGACGATGCCGACCTGGCCCAGTCCAGGATGGCACAAGGTACCGCCGCCGGTTGGGACCGCACCGGCGGCGACGTTGCCACTTCCCGTGG